CCAGCTCTACACCTTGTTATCTCTGGTCTAGATGCAATCACTTTTTATTCTTAAACCATCAAGGGGCATGTTTAGGCCACGTGTGATGGTGCTTTGTACTGAAATATATTGAAACCACAGCCTTCTGACTCGGAGTGGGTGAGAGCGTTATCCATGGCTAGATACTTCCTGTATAACGTGCGTCCATTTTTCTGTCCCCTTGCCAGGTCGACATCAGGTTCCCACCACCTGGCTCTGATGACCCAAACCGTGTGACAATAACCGGGCTCCCTGAGCACGTCGACAATGCCATCGATCATCTGCTTAACCTGGAGGAGGAATACGTAAGTCCCCGCGCCCTTACTGCACCAGCTCGTGAATAAAGAGAACCAACTCTCAGGTCAAATCAGGCAAGGCTAACTGAGAGAGGGAGGAAGGGCGGGGGTGTTTGCATGTTTACAGGAATAGTAGCACAGTGGTTGTGTTATGTTGTGAAACTTGTGATCCTAAGGTCTGGATTGATGACCCAAAGATGTGAGTTCAAATCCTACCACAGCAGCTAAGGAATTCAAATTACGTAAACCGGGAATTAATAATCCTGTATCAGTAATTGTGACTGCGGTCATAGTTACTTGGTTGGCCTACTGGTGAGCCTCAGTTACAACTGAAATGACCGAGCAACCACTCCTGTCAGAAGTGTGGGTCTCCACCAATTTCTCAAGGGCAGTTGTACATGCCTTCATTATAGACACAAAGACACCACTTACACTCTGCACAGTGACAGGAGCAGAAACTAACAAAATTCCACATGTTTTGTGTTAACATTTTAATGATGACTTTATTAAGGGTGGCACAGTGGCTAGCACTGCTGCCTCACAGCGCCAGGGACTTGGGTTCAATTCCAGCCTCAGGTGGCTGTCTGCGTGGAGTTTGCATAGTGTCTGTGTGGGTTTCCTCCCACAGTCCAAAGATGTGCAGGTTAGGTCACAGGGTCACAGGGATAGGGTAAGGAGGTGGCATGCTTTTCGGGAGGTCAGTGTGGTGTTGATGGGCTGAATGGCCTGCTTCCACGCTGTAGGGATTCTGTGACTCACTGATAACATTACAGTGTAAAGAAGTCAAAAATGTGATCATTCAGAATTGTACCAAAATTTAATTTTGTTTTAATGAATTCAAATACAAGTACCTTCTTTATTGAACCTTGATAATTTGGCAAGTACCACAAACTTTGTTTCAACCGGCACTTTATGAACTATCACTGTCCGGCAAAAATTACATACCCCAAATACCGTGATGTTTACTGTATTATTCTGTCCTGTCACTATAGTTTTTTTAATTTATTTACCTCAATGTAAATTTATTTGTTGTTCAATCAAATGGCCACATGAAACACCAACATTTGATTCAATTTTAAGTCAATTTCTCCTCAAATACTGTGATGTCCGAGTAGTCAGGTGAGGGTGCGAGTCAGAAGGCTGTCTGCCGGTGAGTTTATTTAAAGCAATGATGCGTTATACTTTTAGTGAATCATGCCGTAAGTAAAGTATAACAGTGACATGTTTACCCCCAGCATTATGTTTCTGTTGCTCAGTGTGTGTTTTTATATTGATTATGTCAACCTCTTGATAATCCCGAATAACTGATCAACTGCATAGCTCCTGGTCCCATAGGTGCCAGGTAATAAAAACGTTTGCTGTATTTGGTTTGTAAATGCCGGTTATGTTGTCTTCAGCTGTTGATGGCTTTTATTTCTGGCAGTTTTTACTGAAAAGGTGATTCAGGTAAAAACTGTTGCTGAGTCCCGAGCTATGCTCTGGCTGATCTGAACGTCCACTCCGTTTTACCCACCTTGCATTTCTGACCCAGACTGCTGCAAGAACCAACCAACTTGGCCATGAATGACCCAGTGTCCAGTGCTCTCTGGGGAGAGGAATTCTGATGGCCTTCTGAGAGAAAAAAGAATCACCTCAGCTCGGTAGTTTCTTATTCTTTATTTCATTCACGGGATGTGGGTGTCTCTGACTAGACCAGCATTGATTGCCCATCCCTAATTGCCTAGGGGGCAGTTAAGAGTCAACCACATCGCTGTAAGGGGAGAGTTCCCTGTATCCCACATTTTGAAAGCTTTTCATTGGCTATAATGCCCTTCGGAGGCGTCCTGAGGCGGAAGAGGGTACTATCAAAATGACCTTCGTTCTCTCTCATCCCCGTTTTGCATTCCCTTTCTCTCGGTCATTTAACTGGACAGATGCTCTCAAACCCCACCACGGCCATTCAAATTCATGAAATAAAACTGGAATTGAAAGAAAGCTGGTCTGAGTGATGATGATCGCCCACCGATAGAGAAGGAAATCTGCAGACCTTGTTCAGTCTGCTCTACATGTGGCCCATGGTGATGTGGTTGACTCTTAACCCCCTTCTGAAATGGCCAAGCGGGTTGCTCAGTTGAAGGCCGGCTGGGGACCGGCCTTACCAGTGACGTGCCCAAAAGCCATGGAAGAATTAGAAAAGGTCTCTCCTCAGTGCCTCTGAACACAGTCCCCTTTCTGGCTCTCTCTGCGGTGCAGATGATGGCGATTGTGGAGTCGGAGACAATGGCAGCGTACATGAAGCCCCCGTCCCGGGTGGAGGAAGAGCCCCGCAGCTCGACGAGAGGCTTTGTGGTGAGAGACGCTCCGTGGAACGCCCCCGGCAACAAGGTGAGCGCTCAAACTCGCGGCGAGAGCCGCTAGGAACCTTTCGGGCTCGGAGGGGGTCGGGGTGCAGCTCGTACTAACCTCCCAACTCCCCATCTGTGGGGAGATGCTGGTGCAGCGGACCTAGTAATCCATAGACGCGAGAAATTAAAATCGGTGAATAAATCTGGAATTGTAGAATCCCTACAGTGTGGAAGGAGCCCATTGAGTCCACACCGATCCTCTAAAGAGCATCCCACCCAAACCCACCCAGTCCCTGTAACCTTGTATTAACCATTGGCCAATCCACCTAACCTGCGCGTCTTTGGAGTGTGGGAGGAAGCCAGAGCACCCAAAAGAAACCCAGGCAGACGGGGAGAACGTGCGAACTCCACACAGACAGTCACCCAAGGGTGGAATCGAACCCGGCTTCCTGGCGCCGTGAAGCAGCAATGCTAACTACTGAGCCACCATGCCAAAATCGCAAGCTAGTCTCAGGAATGGTGACTATTCGGGGGTAAGGTCCCATCTGGTGCACTCATGTCCACTTGGGAAGGAAATCCTCACCCGGTCTTTCCCAACTCTTGACTCCAGACCCAGGGCCAAGTGGCTGATTGTCAGCTGCCCTCTGAAGTGGTAAACCCCTTCATTCGAGGGGTGATTAGGGAGGTTGCTAGTGAGGTCAACATCTCACAAAGGAACCTGTAAGATACCCGAACCGAACATGTTGACTCTTGAGATAACGGCGGGGAGTTGGAGGGGCACAGCAGGCCAGGCAGCATCAGAGGAGCTGGAAAGTAGACTCTTTGAAGTGAGTCGGATTAAGGAGTAGCTTCATTGGTGCTGAAATGTGACTCTCTGACTTGGAACTGTCTCCCTGCAGGCCCCAGATGTGAGCAGCGCAGAGGAATTCCCAATGTTTGGAACTGTGGTTGCCCCCAGGCAGGCATCCGCCTGGGGCCCGAAGAAATTCTAGGGCCTTGAGCAGTCGGTAACTTTTGAGAAAAGCTTCTTGTCCAGTTAGAGGAAAACAAAAGATTTTTTTTTGTGAATCTCAGTGTTCTTTTTCTGAAGCTTTGACTTGTCACAGTTTTCTATAAAAAAAATTGAAATGTCCAGAGGTATTAGCAGCTGTACCACTGTCCTGTGTACAATCTGTTTCAAGAAAGAAAGGCAGAAAGCCATACTTCACTTAGTTTACAAGACACCCATCCCCCTCCCTCCCAGTCCTCAGTAGATTTCTCTTCAGGGCTACATGCAACAGAATCTGGGAACTTGCGGCCGCAGCAAGGCTCAGCTGTTAGCGAGTTTCAGTGCTGACTGATCACCCCATGACGCTGCTTTCTGACTGAGGTATTGGCCAACCCTGTCTCAAGATGGGTTCTCAAGGAATTGGAGTCTCTGTGGATTTGCAGGAGAGTTAAGAAGCTGACCATCCTTCCTTAAACCCCATTCCCTCTTGTGCCTGCTGTCTAGTACCAACTGAATTGCGGCTTTTATCATTATGTTCTCCTTCCACCCTGTGGGGTCAATCAGTTTTGTGAACCTGCCTTATCCATGTCAAGATCACTCTCTCACCTGGGCTCTTCTGAGGCAGTGGGAGGAATTGTTTTTCCTCTCTATCTCTCTCTGTCTCTTTTTTATTCTTTGTCTCACTCTTTCTCTCTCATTTCCTCTCATTGTTTTTCTCTCTCTCTTTCTCTCACTCTCATTATTTTTCTCTCTCTTTCATTCTTTGTCGCTATCTCTCTCTCTCATTCTATCTCTCTCTTTCTGTCACCTTCCCCTCTCCTCATTCTTTCTCTCTCTTTCTCATTCTTTCTCTCGCTCAATCATTCTTTGTCTCTCAGTTTCTCATTCTTTCTCTCACCCACTGTGTCATTCTTTGTCTCTATCTCTCTCCCATTCTTTCTCTCTCAGTCTTTCTCTCTCATTCTCTCTCTCTCAATCTTTCTCTCTCATTCTCTCTCTCTCTCTCAAGAAGGACCCCATTAACCTTAGTTTTTAGTCTTCATAAAGAAAATACTTAAAGCCAGGAGACAGTGATGGCGGGGTGGGCTGGGGTGGGCTGGAGGGCGATGACAGCTGGAGGTTGTGAACATCTGTGACCCACAGCAAGCCAGTTCTTTACTGGACATGAGCAGAATCCACCCACTATCCAGTGAATCTCTGGCCTTAACATTACCTACAGCACATCTCGGGTGATATACCTCGAGCAGCAAAGAGATTGATGTCACTCTCCCAAGTCCCCTTCTTTCCTCACTCCTTGGCTGATGGTTGGGATATTCCCCACACCACGCTGCCAATTAAAGATTGAGGTGGTGGTAGTTGCCTAGGTTGAGCGTTCTTAATTTATGATTTGTTTTTCCAGCCCGACCCTAATGTTGGGGATGAGTTTACATCTTAAAAGGATGAAACTGAACCGTCCCGAAGGGGAGAGCGAGTCAGAGGAGTTCAGCCTGGGGAGACCTGTCAGGGAAAAAAAGACTGTGACAACAGCTTAGGTTTACCCATTTTCTCTATTTCGCTGTCTTTATCTGTCTGGCTGTCTCTCTCTCTCTCTGTCAGTTTCCCTGTCTCTGTATGTCACTCACTCACTCTCTCTGAACCTCTCTCCTGCACTCCCTTCCTTATGTTCTCTCTCCCTATTTCTTTCTCACCTTCTCTCTCTCTCTGTCTCCCCCTCTTTGTTCGTCTCTTTCTCTCTCTTTGTCTGTTTGTTCTCTGTCACTTTCTCTCTTTCCCTCTTCCCCCTTCCTCTCTCAGGTTCTCTCTCTATGTCTTTCTACCTCTCTCTTGGGCTGTCACTCCCCCGTCACCCTGTCTCTCTCTCTCTCACCTGTGTGTTTTTGTGTGTGTGTCTCTGTCTGACCCACTCCCCCTCTCTCGCTGTCAGTTTCTCCCTCTCTGTCTCTGTTCCCCCCCAACCCCCTCTGTATCTTCTGGGGTATCACGCTGTGACTGCTGACAGTATGGTAGATGTGCAAGACAGCCTGGGAGCTCTGTTGTGCGTGGGGCTGGGAGACAGAGCATCTAGACAGATTACAGGGATGTACCTTGCCATAGTCACGGCATGCGTCCTTCACACTCTAGACACCACTGTTCCTAACACAGTCACCAGCAAAGGAGAACATGCAAAGCATCACACCTCCTCACTGTCTTCCCCAGCATCCAGTTGTCGAGTGACTCCAGGCCAACTCCACCACCCCCCACCCCACGCCTCTATCCATGAGTTCAATCCGTCTGTGAACCCCTTGCTTCCTGAAGAAGGTGCCCCCTGTCAATTGTCGGTATTAGCTGACGCACTCTGCCCAGCTTTTCTCTTAGAAGGACTCTGTCACACAAAGCAGGCTGGGGTGGGTGGTCTGGAATTTGCTCTCTCGCCTTCCTTCCACTCCCCCCCCCCAAAAAAAATGGACACCGGGATTTAGTTGAAACCATCAAAAATGGTGATTGTTCTATTTTTTGTTGGCCAAAGAGAGTACAGAGTCAAGAAAGGGAACAGCTCACCCTCATAATGGCAGCAAAGAGCTGAAGGGTTGAATGGCCCCCTGCCATCTAGGTCGCTGTTTCCAACAAGGGTCTGACACTATGTTTATATTTGAACCTTTCTAACCCCCTCCATATAATGCAGAGTGATAACCTCCTGGCCACCAATGGCAGCTTCCAGCCATCACTGGAGGCAAGTGAATCTTCCCCGTTGTGTTAACAGGTCGCTGCTTATTCCCTGTTCTTGGGAGGCAGTGCTGACAGCATCCCCCCACCCCACGACTCCGCCCTTTGCTCGCGTCTATTTCACTGAATCTGTCCTCCCTGGTGACCTCTGTTCCCAACCTCCCCCCACCTCCCTCAGCAAAACAAACGCTCTGTGGCTGACTGAGGGTTTTTATCTGCCGTCAGGGAACATTGGCGCACACTGCAGGGCCCAGACACTGCGAGGTCATTTATTAAGGTGCAAGGAATTCTCCAGTGCCCCCAACCCCATTGGCGAGGGGTAGCGTGTAGATACTTGATAACATTGAATTATTGATAATAATGATATCCCCTATGCTGATTTTGGAGTTTCACTGACAGCTTATGCACAGTGCATGTAAACCACTGGCCCTTGAAGCCAGCCAGCAAACCTGGGAGGCCATTTGGCCCTTTTCTGTAAGTGCTGGCCCTCCAAATGAGCAGTTGTCACCCCATGGCCCCGCTTTTTATCTGTAACCCTGCGCGTCCCTCCTGTTCAGTCCCAATTCTTAAGTTAATTGTAAAATCAGCTTCTCAGACTGAGCATATCGCGTTCTGATGTGGCTCTCTAAGTGAAAAGGCAATGCTTGCCCTCCTTCCCTGACTTGGAGTGCTCGTGTTTGACAGCTTTCTCTCTGTCTCTCTCTCTCTCTTTCTCTCTCATTTTCTCTCTCCGTCTTTCCACCTCAGGTTTTGACACCTCTTGTTGTGCCAAGTCCATCTTAATCCCCTCTCGCTGCCCAATGCCTGTGTCCCGTGCTCTCCACACCGCGCCACATGGCATGTGCGATCCCTTGGAGAGATCGTGGGCTTGGCCTGGACATGTAACCACATCCTGCAGTTGGTGCTGTCACAGTAAGGACAGTACAGAGCCGAGCCACCACGGAAGGATTCCCCATTAGCCCCTGCAACACCTTCAGGTTCAAAATTGGCACAAAGTCTTGTGCCCACGAGCTAACATCGATTAATCTGCAACCATCTTTCTGACAGTATTTACATTTTCTTTTTAAATGCACAGAAAGAGAAACCGATCTCACTTTTTTTGTATACAATGTCAATGTCAGATTTCTCTCTTGTGTGGAGGGCTGGCAGGGTACTGTGTGTGTGCGATTGTGTATGTTCAAATGAGAGAGCACGTGCGGGCGTGTGTGTGTGAACAGATAGCCAAGAATGTGCCCCAAGAAGGGCTTTTGGAGACGTCTCATTGAGTATGGCGGCCGTAGCGTCACTCCGATCTGACCGACTGTCCTTCCTTCAGTCCCTCCATCTCCTTACTGCCTCACACCTCCCTCTTCAGGCTGCCACCCACTGCCAATACCATTGAGAATCTAGCCTCCATTCAGACATGTTGTCCTGTGTGTGTTTGTTCCAGACTCTTGCTATCCCTTCAGAATGTGAAGCTCTTTGCAAGCATAGCAGGCGAGCGCATTGAAGGAGTATTTGAGCCTGACTGTGAAGAGATGTTTGGGCTGTGAAAGGTGGGATTGAGTCCAGACAGAACTCTCAACTCCCCTCACCCCCCCTTCCCAGCCCTGACCACCATGATCTACCTACGTGCGGGACCGCATACTGTTGTCATTCAGAGGGAAAGCGTTGCTCTGAAGCAATGTGATGATCCCAAGGGGCTACGATTGTGGCCGCTCTTGATTCTTTCTAGCCAGCAGACTGGCACTGTTGCAGGTTAGGCTACTAGGAAACTTACAATTTGCCACCCTCCCCTCCTTCATGACCTTTACCTTACCCCCTCTTCTTTCTTGTCCTCCCTTCCCTCTACCCTTTGCTTATCTCCCCTCCTTGCCTTTCCTTTTCTTGTCTGTTTTCCCATCTTTTTGCCTCCTTTCTCTCTCCTTCGTTCTCTCTGTTTCTCTCTGTCTCACCTTTGTCTCTCCTTCCCCTCTCTTTTCTCTCTTCATTTTCTTTCCTTTGCCCTCTCTCTTCCTTTCTCCTCTTTCTCTTCACTCCTCTCTCTCCCTCTGTCCCTCTCTGTTGTTCCCCTCTTATTCTGTCCCTCTCTCTCCTTACCTGTCTCTCCTCTCCCATCTCTCTCCTTGCCCTCTCTCTCCTTCTCCCTCCCCCTCCCTCTCCCTTTCCCCTTACCGTCTCTCTCCTTGCCCTCTCTCTCCTTTCCTTTCTCCTTCCTTCTCCCTTTCCCCTTCTGTCTGTTTCTGTTTCCTTTCCCCTTTCTCTGTGTTTCTTTCCTTCCCTCCCTCCCTCCTTCTCTCTGCCTCTGTCTCTCCTTCCCCACCCCTTCCTTCTCTCCCTCACCCATCCCACTAAAATAACCAGATTTTATTGTGCATTTCTCTTTTTGTAAGAAGTGGCTGAAGTTGGTCTGTTAGAATGAACGAAACCCAAACGCCACTCTCCTTTTTTTAAAAAAAAAG